CAAACATACAAACTGATCAACGGGACACCCATGGAATCGCCTATCTCCGGACTTATAGCCAAGGCAGTGATGCAAAGACTGGAAAGGACGGCCATTCCACTAATCCAACCAAAACTAAGGATACGCTACATGGATGACACCTTTGTCATCATTAAACAGACCAAACTAAAGGAAACACACAAACGAATAAAATTCACCAGAGAGGAGGAGAAGAACAAACAGCTCCCATTCCTAGATGTCATGGTAGAGCGCAGGACAAATAGGGAACTGCAAACGAAAGTACACAGAAAAGCCACACACACTGACCAGGTACTGAACTTCAACACACACAAAAAAAGCTGCGTGCAAACATTATTTAAAATGGCAACAACACACTACTGCAGCAAAGAATTACCCCGAGAGGAAGAAGAATACCTCTTCCAGGTTTTCAAGGATATCGAAAAAATTGGGTCAGAAGATGCCTACACGAACAACACCAGGAAGATACTACACGCCCCGACACACTCATCACACTACCCTACATCAGGAACACATCAGAACTAAAAACAAGACTCCTACGACCGCTGGGCATCAAAGTGGCACACAAACCCACATCACCCCTACGACAGCTGCTCACCCGAACCAAAGACCCACTTCCCACTATGGACAGGACCAATGTCATCTATAAGATTCCCTGCAGAGACTGTGACAAACATCACATCGGACAAACAGGAAGAAAATTTACAACAAGGGTACACGAACATCAATTGGCTACAAAAAGACACGACCAATACTCACTCATCTCTATCCACATGGATAAGGAGAACCACCAATTCGACTGGGACAACACCAAAATCCTGGGACAAACAAAACAGAGACAGGCATGGGAATTCCTAGAAGCCTGGTACTCCACAAAGAAAGCCATCAACAAACACACAGAACTAGACCCCATATACTCTCCACTACGAAGGAAACCGGAAGTGAGGTAATCCAGCTCAACGGACTCCAGAGTTTAAAAACCAGGCAGGAAAACACAACGGTGCTTCATCGGAGGCTGCATTGATGTTACCCAGCAGGGTAATGAAACGTCTGCAGAACAACGAACCAGCTTGGCGAGCCAACCAACCTCAACATCCACAACCCGAGCGACAAATCTACTCTAAAACCTTAGAAATTTATATATATGATTTGGATGAAGTGTTCAAAGGTACGGTAACTAAATTTTCTTCCTTCAAACGTAATGCCTTAAATTTGCAAGTTCAATTGCTTTTGCCGACTCACATTTCCTATGTATACCATTCAAAAGTATGTCACTTTATATACCATGTTTCCTGTGCTATTTATATGAGAACAGAAGTGGACCAGTACTGACTCATAGATACTTTCCAACATTTCTGCAAACTGAACCATCAACAACTTTGTTTCTTATCTATTAGGAAATCTTCCATCCATTTTGCCACTTTTCCTCATACAGCTGTATTTTTCCTTTGTCCTCCTTGACAGACACCTTGAAAAGCTTTCTTCTGACAATCCCTATATACCTCAGTTACTGCTTTCACTGTTGTTATCTGACCAAATTGATTACCAGATCCTTTGTCCACCTTGAATTCTACAAAGCTCTTCAAAGCCACTTCCTTTCAATGATGATATCTATCACATATATTCCTTTTTTTAAACCTAAATTTATTCTTCCATCATTTTAAAAATTATGAAATACTTTACCAGAATGCCACAATTCTCACTTTATTTCAAGATTCTGGACTATTTAACAGTTCTTTTACCTTTAAAACTCTTATGAGAAACCTTAATATTTCTTATCATATTGTCTCAAATATTTTCATTTATCTTCCCATTCAATACTTTGTTATATTTTTGGATCATTTCTGATCACCTTAAGCCTAATTATTTTGGATGTCATTTAAAGCTTTTAAATATGCATCATTTCTCATTTATAAAAAAAAGTGTCCATCAACATCTTAATATTGTAGTTAGATTTCAATGACATACCTGGGAAATGAACAATAGAACGTGCGTCTGATAATTGCTTTGAGTTATTCAACTTAACTTGCATCTGCCAGCGATGTTGGTTCCAATCAATGAAAGCAATAAGAAAATTCAAATCATATCTGTCTTAAATTTAAAATGTTGTATTTATTTTGCAAAGGACTCCTACAGATCTGTTTACCGTACCACCATCCCACAATTAGATACAATGCCTTACTATTAACATAGAGCCATTTCATATTCCAGTAAAATCTAATGAAACAGGCCCAACTAGAAGAAGAGCATTTCACTGATGTGGCAGATCTATAACCTGAACTCATTACATGTTAATTGAGAGCCAAGGGCTTCAATCATAAACAACTAAGAAAATAACCTCCCATTTTAATGTTAATTAGCGAGCTGCTCAAGATTCTGAGGCTCATTGTGTCCCATAAAATAAGCAGGATTTACTGGCTTTTGTTGTATTTATGTTGTAAGACTCTGGAACTATATTTAACAGCATGCGGTTTCAAAGAGACATCAGTTTGTAGAGGCTGAAGAAGTTCAATCTGAAAGAGCTCTAAGAATTTTCCATTATATGGGAAAAAGGCACCATTTCTCACTCGTCACTCACTTTCAAATAGTCTTTCGTATTTGCAAAGGACAAGGAGCTAGGTTGTTCAAGACAGAATGACTGGGGCACTTATTTCATTTTCACACTCACCTCTTTTTTTTAAGATGTATGTAATTCTGGATGGTTGAAGTTTTGAGGCACTTTGAGATTTTAAGGGGCTGCCTTTGATGCCCCATTTAGAAAGGGTTGGATGGCAGGTGATGGGAGGGCATAAAGTTGGATTTCATTACAGTGGTGCCATGCCCGTTGCCTGACTGCCCCACGAACATTTTACCAATGGCAGGGGAACATCAGGCAGACCTTTTGCTCTTTGTTCAGTTGAGGCCCTCAAGTTATTGATGACTGCCTATGGCAGAGGAAGTCGGTGCCAACTACCATGCGACCTTGTAACCAAGTTGGGAATGATGGGTGCCTCATGTTCTTGCATCCAGTGCCTCTTGGAGGACTCCTTCAAGGATCACTAACAGCCGCTATTCCCTTCCCCTTTAACAAGCTCATCGTTTCCAGCTTCCAACCCACTTCTTTGTGGCCTGCCTGCCTGGTCCCAGAAAGACCTCGGCCTGATCGTCTGGGCTCAGTCAGTGCTTCCTCTTTGGGACTGCCGTAGTACCAGCACTGCCAATGCTCACAGTGGCTCTGATAGGGTGAAAGAACTGCCAGCTATTGGATTAGCCAGCAGTGCTTGGAGGTGAGACTTTCTCTCTGATGTGGGTGGATATTCCGCCTCAAGCCAATTAAAGACCTAAGAGCATTTAATGGCTACGGTGGAAAGCAGCCAAGGCCAGGAGGGTTTGCCCTAACTTCAATGCACAGGAGATACTAATGCCTTCTTCCTCCCCGCCACTGTATCTGTATCAGTCCATTTAGTATGCTACAGTTTCTTCGAACAACTCTGAAACTACAATCATGAGATCAGTGTTCTGGGGCTATGGGTTCAATTCCCACCATGGGAGACAGTGAAATTTTGGACTTATTAGGAACAGTAAAAATTGGTTAATGCAGGGGAGGTTTTGTCTCACAAACTTGATTGAGTTTTTTGAGGAAGTGACAAAGATAATTGATGAGAGTAAGGCAGTGGATGTTGTATACATGGACTTAAAGCATTTAATAAGGTTCCTCTTGATAAGCTGGTCCAGAAGATCAAATCACATACAATCCCTGGTAAGTTGCAAGTTGGATACAACATTGGCTTGGCCACAGAAGACAGAGGGTAGTTGTGGAGGAGTGTTTTCCTGCTTGGAGGTCTGTGACCAATGATGTTCTACAAGGATCAATGCTGGGACCTATGTTGCTTGTGATAAAGATTAAATATTTGGATGAAATGTTGGTGGTCTGCTTAGTAAGTTTGTGGAGAACACAGCATTGGTGGAGTTGTGGATGGTAAGGAAGGATATCAAAGGATGCGACAAGATATAGATCAGCTGGAAAGTTGGGTGGAGAAATGGCAGATGAAGTTTAATCCAGACAAGTGTGAGGTGATGCATTTTGGGAGGTTAAATGCAAAAGGAAAGTGTACAGTGAATGGCTGGACCCTTAGAAGCATTGATATACAGAGGGATCGTGGGGTCCAAATCTATTGATGCCTGACAGTGGCAATGTAAATGGATAATGTGGCGAAGAAGGTATACGGCATGCTTGCCTTCATCGGTTAGGGCATTGAGTTATAAAAGTTGGCATGTCATGTTACAACTCTATAAGACTTTGGTCAGGCCACATTTGGAGCACTATGTGCATTTCTGTTCACTGCACTATAGAAAGGATGTGGAGGCTTTGGAGAGAATGCAGAAGAGGTTTACCAGGATGTAGCGTGGTTTGGATTGTATTAACTAAAGAATTGGATTGTTTACACTACAGCATCAGAAGCTGAGGGCTGTACTGATAGAAGTGTATAAAATTATGAGAGGCATAGATGGGGGGATAATTGGAGTATTTTTCCCAGGCTGAAACTGTCAAATACTAGAGCATGGATTTAAGGTGAGAGGGGGAAAATTTAAAGGAGATGTGCAACTAAAGCTTTTTTTCCCACACTAAGGGTTGGTAGGTTTCAGGGGAGGTAGTACAAGCAGATAAAAAAGCAAAGTTTAAGTGGTCTTTAGACAGACACATTAACAGGCAGGAAATAGAGGGATATGGAGAACAATGTGCAGACAAATGGGATTAGTTCAGAATTGCATCACAGTCAGCATAGACATGAAGGGCCTGTGCCTGCGCTGTATGTTCTATGTTTTAATTATCAATTTACCATGAGTGATTGTTATGATCTCCTTTATCTATTATTCATATTACTGCAGATTAATTTACTTTTAAAATTCAAACACAGAAACAATATAATTTTGATAGTGCAAACAAGTTGCTTCTGTATAATGATTTCAACTTATGGTTTTTCAAACTACTTCTCTTCCAGCATCAGATCAAAGGGAATGAAAGAACAGCCTCATTGGGTACCATAATGCCTCTTCCTCGGAGTGCCTACTGGCAACACATTGCAAGACAGCACAGTGTAAATCAGCTCCATATCTTTGAAGGTAGGTACAAGGAAACTGTGGAAAATTGGTAAGTGAAAATCTTTGGAAGCATATATTGCAGTCAATAGTATTTGATACAGAAAGTCATGTGCACTGGCAAATCTTTGAAGCAATATTTACAGGTCTTGTTGGATGGTTAGCATTAACCCCAGCTAAATGCTGCCTTGATGTAAAGGGCAGTCACTCTCACCACACCTTTGGAACTCAGCAGTTTCACTCATGGCTGGAGAGCCAAGTGGCCCTGGAGGATTCCAAACTGTGCATTAGTGAGATTATTGATACTTATTGATGTAAGTGCTACTTGATAAAGCAGTTGATGACATATCCCATCACTTTGCTGATTTAGGTCTTGAGAAAGTTGCAGGACAGACTGGAAAGGGTGAGCCTTTGTAATTACACACAGACCATTGTTGGCCACTAATAGTCCCCATTAGTAGCTGTTCATTCTCCTAGGCTAATGTTATCCAGCCCTTTGTCTGTTCAACTGTTCTGATCTCTTTTTGGGCTCTATCTCCATCTATCATTTACTCCTTACCTCCTACACCCACCCTACCTTCTGCATAGAAAACAAGTATTTCCTAGCTACCATCAATTCCGAAAAGGGTCATGACCCAAAATGTTAACTCTGGTTTCTCTCCACAGATGCTGCCTGACCTGCTGAGCTTTTCCAGCAAATTTAGTTGTTGTATTTTTACTAAGGCGAGCTTTTTATTTTTGATTTTATAAATCAGGAGAGTTTGAATTCCTTCAGCTGCAGAGTTGGGATTTTAACATGTCTCTAGAAAATTAATCAAAGTCTCTGGATTACCACTCCAATAATTTTACCAAGATTTTACATTGTCTTAATAAATGGACAGGATTTGGGCTGTCACAAGTGATGTAATTATTTCAGAATCTTCAGACACTCCACTGCTCTTGTAGCCACCGTATTTCTAAGTTTTCCAAGTTATCTTCCAATTAATGCTGACTCCCAGAAGTTTGAGCTTCAGTTGTGGGAATGATGTTGAACCTCAAAGGAAGATAGATGGTTCTTTCTCGTTCAAAATGGCCACTGCCTGCCACTAAGCTTGGGCAAGTGTAACATACCACATATTAGCTCGAGTACGTACCATTCCAGGTATTGCTGTATCCAGGCATGGACTATTTCAGTATCCATGGAGTTGCAGACAACACTAAACCTTGTGCAATCAATGAATAGTCCCACTTCTGAACTTACGGTAAAAGTATTAAAAGGTGTTGGGACTGAGCACAATATTGTGAGTGATGTCCTGGAACAGAGATGATTGAGTTCCAATAACTTCAGTTGTCTTCCTTTATACTCTGTAACAAAGGGAGGGATTTCCAATTAACTTTAAATCTGTCTCACGCAATAGAATGCGTGATTTGACATAATGAGCTGTTAACCTCACCTCTTCAATTTAGATTTTTTTTCACCACATTTGTCCATGGGCCAAGGATGTAATGAGGTCAGAACCCAAGTGTCACGAGCAAAACAACTCATAGCTCGCTCAGACATTTTCTCATGCTCTAGAGTTGCTCTGAAAAAGACATTAGTGACATCAGAGGATGCCTGCAAAATTAATTTTTTTAACCTGAGCCAGAGCAAACACGAGAGTTTCTGATGTTTCCACATTAAGAGTACAGCTGTTGCATTTCTGATTGTGTTCCTCCATGATTCATCTGTGGGCATTGGTAAGAACCCTAGCATCCAAAATTGATCAGACCCCAACCAGTATAGTGCATCAAGGAAGCCAGTTGATGCTAAGCAGCTTGTCAGAAGCATGGTGTTGAAGAACGAGGATGCATTTCGATGGCTCTCAAATCCTTTAGTCATTTTGCAATATAGATCGCTCAAGAGCTCAGTGTCAATAAATTTAGTTCCAGAAGACCATATTTACATAAGCTTTGATTTTTTTTGTTTCGGTACATGTGTTGGATATTACTTTGAAGCATTATACTCAACTAATTTGTCAAAGCATGCTCATCCACGTCAACCCCTTGCTAATCTATGTCGACTGAAAGCATCATCTAGCAGTTTTGATCTAACCTTCCAACAAATCCAAACATTTCTAGTTGGCAAGAGATGGTAAGGTGTATGCCATAGAATTGAGTAAGTGCTTAGAGGAAGTCAGGTTTCTGCATAGCTTTCTTGACCTGAAGATGATTTATGGGACTGTCCTAACTTTCCAAAAGGGAACTTCTCACAATTTCAGCCTCTTCCCCTTTAGACAATGGGATTTTCCTCATTGTATCAGCTTTTTTAACCAATTAATAGGAATGCCATATTTCTGTGAGCTGGGTGTCAGTCCAGGCCCACAAAAGGTCAGAGTCTGTAGGAGCCACAATGTCCACAGAGATACGCAAAAATCTCCTGTTTCTCTTGAAACAGCTTTTTTAAAAAAAATACTGCAGGCTTCTTTTGTTATGGCTGTGAACTATGTTTGATGACTGGAAACTGGTGTGGATTACAGGATATTAGTATGGGTAAACGGCATAACATTTCTTGCCAATGGCTCTATTCAAAGACTATCGTATTTTACTTTAAGACAGAAGTTGAAGAAATTATTTCAACAGGAAGATATGTACATTCTCTCTGAACTTTTGCTTCTCTCAAGTCTCTCTGCCATGCGATTGTTATATCATCATTGGCATAGGTTCCTATGTACATGTTCAGTAGTTAACCTATTACACTGCAGGAACTGAGGGATAAATATTTCACTTGGGTGTTGGTAAAGTTAATTTAGATATTTCAGAGAACTCGTACAGGACCTTTCTGGTGAAACAGTGTTTTACTTGTATTTCTTTCAATCTAGTCGATTGTATTTGGTGCACACATTGTGATTTCCTTTACATCGGTCTAAACACATCCACACTGGTGGACCACACCACTTTGTCAGTTAGAATGTCCCAATCTTCTAAATCTTGCCATTTCAACAAAACAACTTTCTCTCATACTAACATTTCTGTTCTGGGCCTTCATGTTCCAATGAAGCTCAATGCAAGCTGGAGGAACAGCAACTTATTTTCTGCTTAGGCACCTTACGGCTTCTAAGACCTAATTTGTTTAGCAATCTCAGTTAGATCTCGGTCCTCTATTTAAATGACATAACCCTGAGCACCCCACCTCCCCCCCCTCAACTATATTTTGTTTGTGCCTTGTTGATTTTGCTGTCAGAAAGCAGACACATATTCTCCTTTTCACGGTTGACATCTCTTGAACATCTCCATCTCTCCTTTACCACCGTTTGCACTCCCTTTATCTTTGCCGTGGACAACCTTACCATCTGTTCCAAGCACTCCTCCTCCTTTGTCAATAGCATTAAAAAACACCATTTTCCAGCTCCTTTGAGTTAATAGAATCATAGAATCCCTACATTGTGGAAACAGGCCCTTCGGCCCAACAAGTCCACACCAACCCTCACAGCATCCCACCCAGACCCGTCCCCCTGTAACCCACCTAACCTACACATCCCTGAACACCACGGGCAATTTAGCACGGCCATTCCACCTAGCCTGCACATCTTTGGACTGTGGGAGGAAACCGGAGCACCCGGAGGAAACCCACGCAGACACGGAGAGAATGTGCAAACTCCACACAGGCAGTCACCCAAGGGTGAAATCGAACCCAGGTCCCTGGTGCTGTGAGGCAGCAGTGCTAACTGCTGAGCCACCGTGCCACTCACATTCTGAGTTCTGAAGAACAATCACATTGAATTCAAAACATTAATTCTGTTTCTCACTTTCCAGATCTCCTGAGTTTCTCTAGCACTTTCACTTTTATTATTAGTGCAGGATGGAAATAAAGGAGGAGCAGCACTTGACTGGCTTATTGTGGCCTGTTTTCCTATGGTATTGCGGGAAATGAAAGTGGTGGCACAGTCACTACCATTGCATTTGTGGAGATGTCCTGACCGAGTGAATAAGCAGCTCAGAGCGTGTGCAGTGTTAGCGGTGTCAGGGTTTGGGGAAGAGTGACAACCAAGGAGTGAAGATATTACTGGCGATAATGAAAATCATCAAGCCTATAGTCTTGGTGGGAGGTGGATACAGTAGCAGAGAGAGAGTGAATGTAAGGTTTTGGAGAGAAGATAATGGCACTTAGACTTGTAGAGTGGTGAAGAGCATTGACCTTCATCCTGCATTGCTTGGCATTCTTCCAGACAGTTGTGTGTTAAACAAGATGGCAGCCTTGTACCAGGTTAGTATGGTCTGATGTAATGGTCTCGAATGCTGTTCCTGGATGAAGACCGAGTCCTGCCCAGGTACCATCTGCCCAGCAGGACTTTTAGGTCCCTGTCTGACAGCAGGGCACTGATTTCCCTGTTTGCCATGTTTACAGCAAATGTCAGGAACTTTGCAGAGCAGTTCCACACTAACACCGCTTGACAGGGTGCATAAAAGGTGTTGGGAAAAAACCCAATAGATATTGCAGTAAGAAACCTTCCAAAAAAAAACTCAACACAACTCAGACTTAACCAAAACAAATGTAGATTCAGCCCTTAAAATTTTATGGGGCTCGACAATGTAGATGAAAGAAGTATATGTCCCTTAGCTGGCTCTCTAGAAACAGGGAACACAGCCTCAGAATAAGGGGCATCGAGTTAGGACTGAGATGAGGAAGAATCTCTTCACTCAAATGGTGTCAAATATTTGGAATTCTCTGCCCTAAAGGTTTTCAGAGTCACAGCCACTAAATGTTTAAGACTATGATTGATGAATAGTTCCATTGTGAAAACAAAGGAAGTGGCCTTATTCCAATACTATTTTCCTGCTCTAGGAAATCTGCCATGATCTTGTTAAAGGGCAGACTTGAAGAGCTGACTGGCCTGCTCCTGCTCTTAGTTCTTGTGTAACTGTGTTACTGTCATGATGCTCATTTAATCCTGTCCAAAGGAATGAAAAGTTGATGATGAAGTTTTTCAAGAATGTGGCATGTGCTTCTTCCAGGCAGAAGGGCCACTTAAAAAGTAAGGCTCTGATGAATTTGGCAGTGGACCAAA